GACTGACTCCAAAACAGGGGCCACCATCTGCCAAGCCGCCCCGCAAGTGAAAGAAACGATTTAACATGGCCATCAATTTGTTAATTGTGTCCACTGTGCACGCAGCAAAACAGAGCAGGCGGATAATGAAGCCGATTCATGATTATTAGGCTATTCTGAGATACACATGCTGCTGGAGACAGTCGTGTTGTTTAAATAAATGGAGTTTTAAATTTATGGTTAAATCTAAATGCGTATACATAGAAATGCTTTTGTATGTAAAGCGAGTGTAATGACTAAAACAGGGGTGTCCAGACTCGGTCCTGGAGGGTCGGTGTCCTGGAGAGTTTGCTCCAACCCTAATCAAACACACCTGAACCAGCTACTTAAGGTTTTAGATATACTAGAAACTTCCTGGTAGGTGTGTTTAAGCAAGCTGGAGCTAAACTCCAAGTGGAACACTCCACTTATTTTGAACATAGGCTCATTTTGCAACAGTTTTACCATTTTTTTTAATCCATTCAGACGATCTCCAGGTTGGGCAGGAGCACGTTTAGCGTAGTTTAGCATAGGTCATTAAATCAGATTAGGCCATTAGCATCTTGCTAAAAAATTTTTTAAAAACTTAAAATTTAAAGCTTCTGTGGTGACATTGTGCATTAGACTGATTGGAAATAAAATGATATTTGCTATTATCAAGAAAACTTTACATACATTCAAGCTTTAGAAAGGAAATTAACTAAACTTTTTTTTGAGAGAGAGAGAGAGAGAGATGCTAATGGTCTAATCCATAAGTCATGGTTCAAATGACCTATGCTAAGCTAAAAGGGCTTCTACCAGAGCTGAAGATCGGCTAAATGGATTAAAAAATGATACATCTCAACAGTTTAAATCTACACTGTAAAAAAAAAAAAAAATCCGTAATTTTATGGTTTATTTTCAGCAGCTGGGGTGCCAGAAAAAAAGATAAATAATAGCCGTTAAATTACAGAAATTTACTGTAACATAACGGATAAAAAAATTACAGAAATTTCCTTAAATTGATATTTCTGGTAAATTTCTGTAATTTAATATCCATTATTTTACGGGGGTTATTTTACGGGGGTTTTTTTCCGGCACCCCAGCTGCCGGAAATAAATCGTAAAATAACTATAAGGAAGTCATGCTTTTACTTCATGAAAAGTTGTGTTCTTTAAACCCAAACAAATTGTCAAAAAAAGCCTTAAAACTGCTCGAATTATTCTTAAACCTCTAATAAAAGCTCAAGATCATGCCCTGCAACTTTTTATGTTTTTCCATCACTTCAGGCGCAAACATCACACCAAACGAAACACCATGCCAGGCTTATTTTCTCAGATCACATCTCTTCCTGGTGGTGTTACATCACTGGCATTGCAGTTTCAGACTGTGTGTGTGTGCTTTTCACAACTTATCCATTTGCAAACCAGTGTTAAGTTACATGCAACATTGCTGCTCTATTATGAGAATCAGTCATATGATCATTTACTTTCACTGCATGCTTCTTAGACAAGCTTATGTTTCACTCGTGGTTAAAGACGGAACATCTAAGCCTCTTCATCTGTAAACTCACATCTGAGATGAGGTTGGGTAATTCTTTGCTGTCTGTGTGTTGTTTCCATGTTTTGCTAAAAATCCTTTGCATAGATTAGTGGTTCTTGGCTGAATTTGCTTGAGGAGGATTTTTCAATGAGCGGCAGTAAAAATTAAAGGGATCGTTCACACAAAAATGAAAATTGTGTCATCGTTTATTCACTGTTTACTTGTACCAAACCTGTATGAGCTTGTTTTTGTCATGTTGCACACACAAGAAGATATTTTGTCAGAAGCTGGATTTCAGTATCTTATAACTTCTTCAGTGTTCAACAGAATAAAGATACTCACAAAGGTTTGGAACCACTTGAGGGTAATTAGTCTGTAGTATTTTATCACTTCATGTTGAGCCTTTTTAGGTGTTCTTTGAATTTTCTTTTTTGCAAGTTGAATTTTGAGTAGATCTTTACAATATGTTCACTTTTTTTTTAAGTAGGTTTGATTAATTTTTAGAAATACTTGACTGCACATTAATTAACTGCACAAGTCAAGACAACACATATTTTTATGTTGCTCTTGCTTTTTTAAATAAGTTAATAAGATTGAAATGTTTTAAGTTATAAAAAGTTTAACTTTATTTTTAGTCAGTTTGATTGATGCAAGTTAAGACGACTAGAAAAGTTCATTTGATTTAACTAAAATATTTAGGGCAGTAACATTGTTTGTACATGGCATACAGTACTGTAGCATGCTGAAATGAAAACTGAAAATTGTGTTTATGCATAAAAACAGCAAAGGATTTAGCAGACTAACACATGAACACTTGCCAGCTCAAACATGGCGCTGTTGCAATGAGTGTTTATTTGCATAAAATCGTTTTCCATATGCATAAATTTTGTATTTGAAATACACAAGGATTCGATGTGGGAGTGTGTGTGTGTGTATATATATATTTTGATAGTCTACAGAACAAGCCATCATTATACAATAACTTGCCTAATTACCCTAACCTGCCTAGTTAACCTAATTAACCCAGTTAAGCCTTTAAATGTAATTTTAAGCTGTATGAAGTGTCTTGAAAAATATCTAGTCAAATATTATTTACTGTCATCATGGCAAAGATAAAATAAATCAGTTATTAGAAATGAGTTATTAAAACTATTAGGTTTAGAAATGTGTTGAAAAAAATCTTCTCTCCGTTAAACAGAAATTGGGAAAAAAATAAACTGGGGGGTGAATAATTCTGACTTCAAATGTATATATATAAACCTTTATAACTTGTAAAGGTGTCATTTTTATATTTTTCTAATTTTTCCAGTTGTATGGCCGCCTGGATTTTATTCCCTGCTGTCAGTTCATTTTCATTCCCTGATGGCTCAGCTTAAAAAAAAAAAGAAACTGATTAGCAGATTAGCAAATAGACTGAAAAATATGTCGCAAATGAAAAGGGCTGATAAATGAAATGGACTTATCATTTCAAAAAACATGCCCTAATAAATGCTGTACTTTTGAGCCTTTAAGCCAACTAATGCTCTATAATAATACAAATAAAAATAACATTTTATTTTTATAATATTTGAAAAAGGTGATATTGTGGCTCAGTGGTTAGCAGCACTGTCGCCTCACAGCAAGAAGGTTGCTGGTTCGAGTCCCGGCTGGGTCAGTTGGCATTTCTGTGTAGAGTTGAATTGAATAAACTAAAATGGCCATAATTATGAGTATGAAGGACTCATCGTATGAAGCGCTGGAAAGGCATCCGTAGTGTAAAACATATGCTGGATAAGTTGGCGGTTCATTTCGCTGTGGCGACCCCTGATGAACAAAGGGACTAAGCCAAATTAAAATGAATGAATGAATGATTTAAAAAATGCACCTGTACTATAGGCCATTTTTAAGGATGTAAACGATAACAATGGTTCTAGCGCATTTCTTGTTTTACATTTTTTATTTTCATAGCTTCTGAGAATCCAAAAAGGGCCACATATTGATAAATAATATTATGACAGCTGTTTTAGCATTACATTATGATTGATTTCCTCGTTACAGTTATGAAATAGTTTGATAACAAGCAGGAAATGTTCATGGGCCAATGACATCACCACATGGAAATCAAAAGAAGTCAAACACTAATGTAATGATACAAGGGTCAATGAAAAGGATTTTTTGGCTGAACTGGCCCTTTAACACCCACTACGGTACTGTCATACAGAAAGTTGGGTTAGCTAATTATTAGCAAGGATTACAACAAATGCCCCACGGGGTCTAGACTGCTTAATATGATTATGTTATTATAAAAACAAACTATGGGGGTTAGCGATTATGTAAATAAATTAGGTCAGGCAATACAACGTGTTCATGGGTTACCAAGCCACAATGACTGATATAGAGCTTTGTCGTCACTTTTAAAAAGGTAACACTTTGGTTTTTAAAAGGATCTATTATGCCCCTTTTTACAAGATGTAAAATAAGATGTGCCTAGAGTGTGTATGTGAAATATTCAGCTCAAAATACCACAGAAATAAATGTAAATAACTGTTTGAATCTGCTCCTGCTCCAGAAATGGCCTTTTATTGTGCCATTTTGGTGACTGTCACTTTAAATTCAAATGAGATTCTCTTTTCAGAAGAGGGCGGGGCTATAAATTCCTGTGTGTCAGCATAGTGGCAGATTCAAAAACAAGACGTCTTATGCTAATAAAGGAGAGATTGTTATTAATGGGTAGGGCTTTTCCCCTCAGATGACACATACAAAGGGACACTGTGAAAGTGTTTCGGCCTAGTGATACGGTTTTTATCAAGTGTGATTATAAAAAATAAAATTAATATATTTTTAATATTAGAAGCTGGTTATATTCACAGACTGTTAACACACAACTTTGTTTAAACGTGATTAAACTTTGTTAAAAGTGATTTTTGCATAATAGGTCCCCTTTAAACACCAGTACTCATTATTAACTAGTAGTTTATTACCTGCATATTGGCTGTTATTTAGTACTTGATATTATTTAGTGCATTCTACATGCCTTATTCTACCTAATACATAAACCTAACTACTATGTTATGTATATGTAACATTATGTATATAAAATATATAAAAAGTTAAATAAATGAATAAACAACAGAAAGGCTGTAAGAAATGTCATTAAACTAGTAGTGGCATTTTGTAAAGTATGAAATATCAGTCGGCAGAAACGGACACCAGAGTTAACCTTGACCAAAGACATGATTGGAGCAAAAAGAGCCGTTCAAAGAGGTTTTATGTTTCCCAATAGTAACCCAATGTCTGACCAACAGGGATCAAAATAAACCCACGAAGAATGACCTTTGTGTATGATACCTGTGTCCGTGTGTGTACTTGTTTGTGTGGTATACAAGGACACAAAGTTGTATAATTGTCCTCTAGTGTGGTGGTTTATGAGGACATCATACTTCAAAACAATCCTAGGGTCTTTTGACGTTCAAAATTTGTCA